CGTGTGCTGAGGGAGTAAGCGATTTGTAGGATGAGGCGAGCTCATGTAAGTATCGGCTTGATATTTGTGGTTCGTGGTGTGTTGATTAAATTGAAGTTCGGGGGGGAACACTGGGTTTACATGTGGCTGCGCCGGTGGGTTGTTAGGGTTTGGAAGCTGGCGGTTAGGTAGAGCGGGATTTAAGAGCTCTATGTAGTATGGAGGGTAGCTCAGCGAGTCCGTGGTGGATCCGTGGTGATAATAGGAAGTCGTGTTACGCATGTTTGGGATGGCAGGTGGACCCGGTGGTGGTCCCATAGTGGTGTTATACGTGTCCATTGCGTGTGAAGTCGTCGGGTAGGCTGGTGAGAATCGACCAGGTTGAAGAACGCTGTGTTGCGATAACGAGGGTGGCGAAGGGTGTGCATTGTAGTAGGGCGTAGACTGCGTAGGTGGGTCATGGTTCTGTACATGGTGGGTGTTTGGGAAAGGTTGTGGTGATGGAGGAGTGATTCCCGTTGGGGCGGTGGAGTGGCGGTAATGGTAGTCGTACGAATTAGCGCTTTTGTAATGCCTATTTTTTGAAAGCTGGCTGCCAGTTTGGTGGTAAAAGCTAGGAACGACGGGAGGTGGTGGTAACGGGGACAAGGTGATATGTCTGGAAGGGGGCCGAATGATAGGAGCCAGTGAAGTGTTGGGGAGGCCTGGTCTAGAACGGGCGTGAGGAAGGGAGGGTTGTCGAAGTGGGCTAGCGGGAGGCGTTTTGGAGTGGTTAGCCGATAAGGAATGAGATGACGTGGAATTGGAAGGCGTGAGCAAGATGGGTGGTGGAGTAGTAGCAGACTGGAGTTCCTCGTCAGGGGGCTCCAATGCACGTTGTGGCGGTAGGGGGCTGATGCCATCGTCGACTTCGGCGAGAGCCTCTTCACAAATGGTTAAGCCTTTTTGACGTGCGAGGATATACATGTGCTTACATGCAGAGTTGGTCTGCGTGAAGTGAGGACAAGTACAGTTATTGACCGATCCTGCTTGGCCGTTGGCCTTTGGAGTCGTCGTGATGGTGTAGCGGATTCGTGGTCTAGTAAGTGAACCCATGCTAAACTGTAGTGGCCGTCAGTATGTTAGGTGTTCCTTAGTTGATGGTCTGGGACTTACTTGAGAGTTGCCGACGGGTGAAATCAGGCATAGCAAGTTATCCAAATCTTCGTCGGTGTACGAGTCAGCCAAGCCTTTTGCTATGTTTTGGAATTTGTTGCAGCGTTGTGGTCGGAAACCCAAAGTTGTCGTTAGTAACTGTTGACGATAGTTGGGTTCCATGTCTTCGGTGAGGACGTGCAAAAGTTCGTCTGGCCGGCAGAGTTTCAAGCGGTCTAAGAAGTTGCATTTCAATGTGCGATGATAGGATTCGTTATAATTGTTCGTGTGAGTTCCTTGGACGGGAACGTCACGCTCGGCGACCATGCAGTGTGGAGCATTGCGGACCCATTGTTTCTCGAAGGATTGGACGAAAGCGGGATAAGAAGTTTTATTACGGCGTTGGAAGTCGATCCAGGCATCCTTCCAATACTGTGCGTAAATGATACTCATCGCTTCCTGATGAAGTTGCACAGCTGGCCCCTGCGGGGCCTGGAGTAGATTGTCAGCGAGGTCATGGTTGGGTTTGGAAGGATTGCTTACACTGATACAAGCACGGGCTCTGATGGCCCACGATACGTGGAATGTACACCAGAAATGTTTCGGGGGTTTACGGCTTTTAGCGTACGTGGTCTTGATTGCGCTTTGGAATTGTAAAGCGCAATCGGTCATGAATGCCGCGGGGAGTACGCCAACTTCGTCCTTAAGCCATGTGAGGAATCGAGTAATTGTTTCCCTGTTGGTCATATTAAGTCAACGACGTCCGGGAGTAGGTTAATGATGTGAGCTTACGTGCGTTCGTCGGATGTTAGAAACCAAGCGACAGGGACGCCACTCCCGGTAACGGGATTCCGAATGATAAGTGTAAGTAGTGTGAGGTGGACCGTAGGCCACTCCGGGATGTCGCTGCTGACGTTGTGGGTAGAGTCGAAGCATATGACGCCTTTACCGTGAAGGAGCAGCTGTTGACGCTGCCAAGGGGAGACGAGTCCGATTTGAATGCGTTTGTATGCTGGCCGGACTTCATTCATGACGGAGTAACCTCTTTCGCTCAGCCGTGCCATCCACTTCATCAAGGACGGTATGAGTATCGGGTCGAGGCGCTGGATGCCTTGAGCGGCTTTGCGAATGACATTACGGAAGTCTGAATAAGTAACTCGGAGCGCTTCTGGAATGACCGAAAGTGGTTGAACCTCATCCTGTGGAAATGCGGCATTGCTGTTAGAATCGAATGGAAATATTGGAAAAGGAAAAACGTACCGGGAAAAGGTCAGGACAACGCAAGAGACGTTGAATGGTTCGCCAAGAGACTCCTTCCAATATTCGAGTGTTCAGCCAAGATTTAACTACTTCGGGCATGCGCATGTTGCGCATGTCTTTGATAGAATAGGGATTGTGATTGGCGTGTTCCCAAAACCATTCGAATTCTATGTCGCCGGTAGCAATGGTCTTTCGAAGAATAAACTTAGCTGGGCATTGAACTTTGATAGAGCCAGAAGATTGGCGAGTGAGATCAGTCAAAGTCTTCTTGATTTGGGTACATGGGTTGCCAGAGGCGTTGCAGTTGAAGATGTGAGTCCATTCGTGTAGGCGTTTGGGGCCACGCTTGCTGGATGATGGGGGTTCTGGTGCTATGATTTCGCCGGAAGGTAAATGTAAAATGCCGTTGTTTCGGCGTCCCTTGCTGACCCATTTGGCGGAAGTGCACATGGCAAAGATCAAATCGTCTTCGATGCCTGGTGTCTTTGGTAGGGTAATCCGGAGAGGTTTTCGGTCACCAAAGTCTGGAGGGGACCGCGACACGTCGCGGACGTAGCGAAGAGACGAAGGGTTGAAATCAAAGCCTGGTGTCGGCGGCGCTAGATAGGCGAGTGGCAGTGGAACGAAGTCGTAGATATCAATGCAGCGAGGATAAATGTCAAGGCCACTGCGAATCTGATGATTATGGCGAGTCCGTGGTTTGTTAGCTAGCTGCAGGTAGTCGCCGGCAGGCCGGGACCGGGCGGTTTGGCGTGGTTTGTGAGGTTGCATCGGTTGACAAATCAGAAAGTAAGAGCAGTTCAGTGAGGCAAAGGAATGACGAAGTCAAAGTTGGGCCACTCAAGGATGCAGTCCGGCGGCAATGACTTTGTCGTAACAACGCGGCTCAGCATTTGCTTGGAAAGACGCATTTTGCAAGGATTTGCGAAGTCAATCGTCAGCATTTCATCGACGATGAGCGTGATTGCGGCTCATGGAACCGGATCCTTGCAATTTGCACATCCCCGTCGTTCATGTGGAACAATGATTGGCAGGTGGGCGCATTTGCGAGGGAATGCGAGACGCTTTCGCGGAGCGTACCGGGAAAATTTATGTTTTGTGAAAATTAGCAGTCATCAAGTCATAGATGTGAGGTATTCACCGAGAACACATCTTTCCGTTCAACAGGCGATTATCCATAATTCAACTCTGCCTCCTCGTTGAAGCGCGATGCGCCATTACAATCCGAGTATCCCTCACACGAGAGGCACCGTTTGAAGGCTGAGTGGGAGACAGGCAGCGCCGATGTCACTCCGGCAACTTGTTCATGGCACGTTCATTGGTGTCAATCAGTGTGACGCATAAGTCCCATTCTTCAGCGTTGGGAACCGAATGTGACGACCTCATTCACTCGCAATCATCCGGCTCAGCTGAGTGACTTTGCCGGTAGAGCATTTTGTAGCGCATGGCTGAACCCCCGCTCCGCGGGGCTCGCATATCGCTTCAGTCCGGTTACGTGCGGCCCCGATCCCCTGCGTTTGATTTGGCCTCGGGTTGCGGGATTTGCACTCACGCAGTCAACGTGAATTATCCGCGTCGATGCAAATTTATTCATTTCCATTCTGCCGCTTTCGGCCACAAACTCTCTTTTGGATTATTCTCTCTCGATGATCAATACAGAGATTTGCGTTAGTTGTTTTGAAACATGCGGCTAGAATAGTGTCAGGGCACTTTTCAGCTCGAAGCGTCTCATTTCCCACAGCGCTCGGCCAAAACGAATCGGGAATTTGACAACAACCTTCTGGCGGAATAAATTCAGGCCACACACACCATGACCAAACATTATCCATCATGTTTTTTACTATAAACTTGATGTTGAAGATGAATTCCGCAATGCATAAAACTAATCAAGAAAAAACCCACACCGAATATATGGTGAGGCCAAAGAATCGAAATTCAAGTGGTGGATTTGTACTTATTACAACTGTGTCCTCTGCTTTATGAAATCGAGCATCAACCTCATGGCCAACCTGCAGATAACATGGGATAGCATAGGATAAACATAGCGTCCGTTGCTGGAGAAGACTGGGAATGGACTAATGTATATTGACTGTATTTTAGTGCAAGCCTTGAGTGCAAAATCTATGCGATTGTCACATGCGAGGGCCTGACAGCCTGCTTGGCTTCGCCAGCGCCCCCCGTGAGGCTTCGTGAGGTTGACATATCATGGAACAGGGCCTCCTGTCATGAATGAAGCAAGACATCCCGGGACCAAAAGGAACAAAATCTAATGTCCAACCGTGCGGCGTGAATGTGATTTGAGGGGTTCCGCCGGAGGCAAAACTACAAAAGTCTTTCGGAGCACTCAATAAAACTCAAGCTTCACGTCCTCGTCGGCTCTCAGCTCTAGTCATCTCAAGTTAGTTGACGAAACGAAATTCGATTGCATGTACCTTGTGAGCGTTGCAGCTATATATCCTTCAGAAAACTTGAGACCCTTCGCTGATCACTGCCGTGCTCAGCACAATCCGTGACGCCCTCTCCATGACGCCCTCTGAACTTGCTGACATGAACCTGTTTCCATCTTTCACAGCACTTTGACACTTGATCTAATTTGCTGTAAACCACGGTGCTGGAAAAAAATAAAGATGGCCTCTAGTCTGGCAGTGGCAGGATCAGCAACAAATGATACCTCGCCAGAAGCGAACCCGTTTAGGACGTTACTCAAGATTGCTGTGAGTGATGCTTTGGAGCTGAGAGTTGATGACATTGGTTCCGTGTCCTCTCAACTAAATTCCTGCTGTCCGCATACAACGCAACAGAATACGGCTATCAACCCCCAATTCCCACCTTGGGCTTTAGCCATCTTGCTCTTATTCGCCATCTTGAGAGGTATACTGATACTTATATGTATAACAATCATGGTGATACCGCTAATAAAGGGTCCCGCGAGCCGAAAAAAACATCTGTGTCTTTTCCGCCGCATCTATGCACAACCGGGTGAGTCATCCACAGAAAATAGACCTTTGACTGAGACCGATTTTGACATACATCCTGATTTATCTTGGGCAGAGAGCGGCATTCCCTATGTGGTCCCCAGTCGGTCATATTTCATTGCCGTATGTGAGCTCTGCTCAAGCGTGTTATACTTGTTCGCGGCTTGTGAAAACTACACGGTAAGTGCTCAACCCCTGAAGCTGCCTCGCGTCAGGTATATAATCATTGATCTGCTCTACAATCGACGATCCAAAGACTTACAGACATTCAGGGTTACGAAAGGCCGATACTGGATGGTATCTTACTCTTTGGTCAGTTCTATCGGTAGATATAATGACAGTAGCCAGTACTTTCATCCTGACTTGTGACTGACTTACCTGATGTCTTCCAGGTACGGTTTGGCGTGAGTTTGGGTTGCCCTGCGTACAATGATGACTTTCATAGATCCCCACTGCTTACATCTGTGCAATTCTACATCGCAAAACCTTCAGATGGCTTCCGTAAGCCAGCATCAAAGCTACAGAAGATGTTTTGATACTTACTTACACTCTGCGGAACCTTGCGTTTAGGTCCTATATAGGCATTATGATGTCTGCTTTTTCTATCTGTTATTCTTGGTTGAGTTCCTCCGTAATCTTTTTTCAATTTCAGAGAAAGATCCAGTCCATTAGATTCTCTGTGCTCATAGGAACTTATTATAAACTCCTTCAACTTTCCATGTAAATCATCCCTATGTCTCTCTCACCGGTTTTATCACAGCCTCTGCGACGTAACAGGAGTCAAGAATAGCCGATTACCTCAAATTTTTACTCCAACTGTCTATAACATTGCATGGGTTTCATGGTTGACGATCACCATTGCTTCTATGGCTTACTGGGCAATTCGTATGGCAAGAGAATTGTCCCAATCGCAGATAATTTGCCTCAACGTTGTCAGTGCACTCGAGGAAGCCGTCATCTCTTGGGACACTCGTGGAACCACACACACAGCTTTGATCAATATTCTACACGATCAATCCTTGCTGGCCCGAAGAGTACAAGAAATTGGTAGGATAATTGACGGATGGGCTGCAACCTGGATAGCCTTGTCTGTGGCGATAACAGTTGTGAGTAAACTTCTGTCTCCCAGGAACTCTCGGGATCTTTGCATCAATCTATGGACCCATGTCAATAATTGTGGAACGAGGAGACTGAAACATGTTTTTCCAAGTTCTACGTATTCACAGTTCAATTATTGCTACGCATGCTCGAACACGTTTTGCGCAAGCGCGATGTAGATTCCATGGCTGTCGGTTCTGAATGGTCTTCCCCAATTTGGCAAGAATTAGAGGACGAGTTCAGTGAGTCATTCTATGAGGATTGCTCGAACGCAGATCAAAACATTCAGTTCCATCAAATCTTTTAGGGTTCCTGTGCAAATCTTCTATCCTTGTTACTCTTAGCATCGTCTCTCAGGTCTCGGAGCTGGTGTACCAGACGCATAGTGCAAGAGAACTCACCCAGTGAGTGAATTTTGATGATGTATACCTTGCCGAGTGTCATGGCCGTCTCACCAATCTTCATTTTTGATTGATAGGCTAAACTGGAGGATTGGCTCAGCCCTGATTACTCACCTACCGGGAATTTTCATGACACCAGCACTCCTGGTCCAATCGGTGGGACATTTTAGTAGATTTTCAAAATGAAATCAGACTGACTTAACCTCATCACGTCTACATGCTTCTGTGAGACCACAGTGGAGAATATTAACAGAGCGTTCAGACGAATCCAAATATCAGAAAGCGTCACTGTCGGTTGACAAAAAGAACATCCCAAAGATGACCTCCCAACTTTTGGGATGGGATACCACAGTTTTTTGGGGTAAGGAGAATGAATTTGAACTTGGAAACTTTCCTGGTCTATGTCCAGTCGAATCATCACATTCGACAATAAGAGAAGTTGAAGAAAATCCCAATAAGACAACCACTCTACACATCCCTTTCGGTGATTTAAGTGTTATGCGCTCAACTGTCGTGACGCACGAGGAGATTCAAAATTCAACTTTGAGACAAATTCAAAACTGTCCATACGAATGATATATACTACTTCAGATGTGTGTTTTTGTTTAGATAAATCAGTAACATTGCTGGAATTGAGTTTCTCAATTTGAGTTTCATGTCATCCTGTAAATTTAATTCCTCCTCCACTTACACTTGATTAGATAATCACTGCTATTCTTCTGTAATCATCATCCTTCTACTTCAGCCACTCATTGATAGCTGTTTACTAGTCTCACGCCAACAGATAATCCACAGGAACAAGCAATCAAACTGTTCTTTGTATTTCCCCTGCCAACAAAACAGAATTGATGCTTGAATAACACAAAGAAGTCCCTCTCCTCCTACAAAGATCCTAGAGCTTTCAAGCATCTTTCAGCAATCTTCCCAAACGGGTCATCTGTTCCCACTACTGGTCTTCCCATATCACCAGATTTGCATATCTGGAGTTGTAAGGGGATCTCCCCCAGCACATCAACACCCACTTTCTTTGATAATATCTCAAAGTGTGAGGCAGATCCAAAGATTGAATGTGGTGTCTGGCAATTTGGACAGACGAAGTTGGACATGTTGAGTACGGTTCCTAGAATCTGATGGGTAGGTTATGTTCGTGAAATTGTTTGATGTTCTCTTTGAAGCCGTACGAAGCTGGATGGCACTTAACTGGTATATTGACTTTCTGGAACATGCTGACACCTCTTGAGACATCAATGAGAGCGATATCTTGGGGTGTGGAAACGATGACCGCGCCTAAGGGGCAGATTGAAGCGGACGATGTTGATCAAATGACTCCGTGAGGTTATAGTTTTTCGACAAACTACTAACCATCAACTTCCACAAGCTGACCCAAACTCAAAGCCACATCACCAGTCCCAGGTGGCATATCAATGACTAATACATCCAAGTCGGAGTCGGATTGAGATTGATTCGCTGCCCGCCAGTCGACATCAAAGAGTAACTGTTGAACAGCCTTCATGACCATCATCCCTCGCCATGCGACTGGAGTTTCACCAGTACCGGTGGATGGAAGCAGGAAGCCGATCGACATACATGAGATTCCATGATTCCGAATGGGGATGAGAGCATTTTCTGTTACGCAAATGATGATAAGGCCAATGAGATACGGCTAGAACATCGTGTGTGATCGCTGTCTCGGCGCAGAAGGTGACATAAGCAAAGAGTGAAGAGTAAGACTGAACCACTCGTTAGCTCCGGTTGTAGCCCTCCTTCTAGACCCATGATTTTTGGCACACTTGGACCAAAGATGTCGAGATCGAGTAATCCGACTTTCATCGACGGCCGTCTCCCAATAGCCATTGCAATATTAGCTGAAATGTCATACAGCATGAGTAATCGGCCGGTATTGGAAAAATAATGATTGCCTTGATGCTTAGCTGACCGGAAACAGTACTCTTACCAACACCGCCCTTTCCACTGGCCACAACCAAAACCTTCTTGACGTTGGCGATACGACGTTTTGAAGGTAATGAGCGTGAAATGTTTTTGAGAGTAGGAGGTGAATTGTTTTGTGGAATCCCTTTGGGACTCGAGTCTGCTGGAGGGATTCGCCTTGGAAGTCCCTATTCGAACGAAGGTAGATAACCAAACTTTTCGAAAACGTGAGATCAGATCTGGTTGAATGATTACGAGTCAAACTCAGAATGTCCCCAAACAAGATGTACCAAAGGATTTTCATGGCTGTGGCTTTGAAAGGTCGAGAATTGCTTCAAGAGATTAACCCTCTGGCTTGCGGAAACTCGAGTGGCCAGGATTGAAGGTCGACATTGAAGATTCGATCGAAGCGGTAATGATACTATTGAAAGCATTCTGCAGCTGGTATTGGTTGGTTATTTGGGACTCAAGACGACTCACGACTCACGACCATAGCCACGGCTTTCGTTCCGACAGCCCGACCTGTCACATAGCCGGTCCGCCGGGTGCTCTCTTTTGATCTCCGAAACCCAGCCGGCTCTGGAGTCTGCTCAAATCTTCAAAACCCCTTGCTCCAACAAACCGGAACTTCGAAAATGCATGAAAAGCATTTTCTATTCTGCATGATCAAACGGCACGCGCGCAACACCCATTAGGTTTACAGATCGCCACTAACCGCTCTTGACCACACGCTGCCCAGCTTTGAGCCTCAGAAAAAAGTCTGTCTGGAGATTCATGCAAGCCAGCTGTAGAGTCGTTAGATAGCTGGCTGGGACCTCTGAGACGGACGATGGAACGACATACTGCAGACGGTCAGCCTCCCAATTAGCTCGCCATATAGCACAACCACTGCGGACATGGGACAGTCCATGGAGATGATTCACGTATTCAAAGTTGAGCAGCCAAAAACGTTCGTAACAGGGGATTCACAGGTCGAGTAGTGACACTCGGGGGCTCGAAGATGGATAGGAAAGAGCGTTGATGGACTTCAATCCTGGTAAATCATGACTTTCTACCTCATCAAGCCAACTGAAGCCATCCTTGTTCGACAAATCAAACTTGCTTACTACCCAAATTACACCTTGGTCTGAAGGCATCCAATTCAGTGTTCCAGACAGTTCCCATGGTCCTGGATCCAAGAGCCAATTTGCTGGGTGCCAACTTTCAGACCAAGAGGCTGGTCACGGACCCGCCTTGCCCGTTGTCCTTGGACTGCAAGGCCGTGGTTGTCGTTCACCGAGCTCGCACAAATCGAGTTGACTCGTCTGGCTCAAACGGCAGATAGATGTTGCCAATTGGCAAATCTGCTAGCGACTGGACCACGGTCAATGCGAAGTAAGGTCTAGGCTATGCATATGTGGGCTGAATCGCTGCAAGTTACCTGGTACCTTTAACTTTTGGGTATGCCAGCACGGATGCAAAGCAATCGCCGTCAAAGAGATCAAGTCCATAGTGCTACTATATAGGTTGCCGGACGATTCACGGAATTCCTCTCTTTCCATACTCCTCACATCCTTTACAGACATTCCCCATCACACATCTAAACAAAAACCTTTCAACACCTTCATCGGATCGCTTCATTAACAAAATCATCATGTCTCACATCATCGCATCCCCCTTGGGCTATGGACTACCATACTCTTCTCTATTTTCAGTCCCAAAGGCACAGCCTTCCAAGCGACGCGCGGCGGATCATTTTTGGGACAAGGCGATCGCCCCGCCCTTACCAGCTCCTGCCGCCCCTGAGATAGAAAACAAATTGGTACTCACTGAGACGAATTCCACTTGGCTTGATGCGGACACTGCGGCTTTCAGCGAGAGTGAGGATGAAACCCCACATCCTCGAATTCCAAATTACTATGCCAAAAAGACCAAAAACTTTTCTAGAATTCGACAAATCGCCTTCCGAGCCTTCGTACCCAAAGCTGGAAGTAACAAACATAGTACAGTCGTCGCTACAGAATTCGTCTCACAACAAAAACTCTCGAAACTTGATTCTAATGGCAAAGGTGAAAGGCGTTCTGGGTTTGCAATCTTCAACAGTTGGCGTATCAAGTCGAAAGGGGCGAATACTTATGCCAAGAAGATGGTCGCCGTCGTTCGCCTACGAATCAGTAGCAAGAGTCCTGAGGAGGAGAAACCTACAACGTGGGAAGAATATCATAGATCATATGCTGCGGTAAGTTCATTTCCTCTCAGTTCAAGGTTTTCCTCAACGTACTCATCAATCCTTAAACATCTCGACCATATATAGGAACAAATCGATGTTTTCGATCCTCCTATGCCTCCTATGGGCCTCGACGGTGATAAGCCTTCAGCTTTCGACAATCGATTCTATATGCCCCCGCGCCCTGAGAATGAGCGAACGCGCCAGCTAGTCGTCAATCGCTTAGGTCTCTATGGGCCGAGGTCATTCGACCCATCGGAGGAAGCTACGGAGAAAGCTCGTCAACGAACCGAACTTGCCGAGAAGCTCGAACAAGAAGGTAAAGAACCTGAAACCCTCAATGAAGCGTTCGTTCCTCAACCGGCACCTAGCGTTTCGGATATGGGCGTCGAAGCTACCGTTGCCATGATGGATGGTGTTCGATCTGGCAAACTTCCTCCAGAGACTCTTGAACAACATCCTGGTTTTCCGCAAAATTGTCAAACAATGTCGAGAGCTGTTTGGAACTTCCATTAGTATGTTGACCGTAAGTCATTTCCACCACATATAACCTTTACAGATTGTTTTGACTAAACACAACCTTTCAAATGTGTAGATCATGGATGAAGATCGCCAGGTACATCTCTTTTTACTTCTTGATAGATATTTGATCGTATACATTTGCTGATTAGGATTTTTGGATTACAAAGATTTTCTTGGCAGAGACAGGACTGCATGGCATGAGAGAGGTTTCCAGAGATGTGACATTCTGTTAGTTGATAAAATTCCCATTCAAGCTTCTGATCTCGATTTCGACTTCTAATTGTATCTTCTTCCTATTTTCAGGCGCACACACTGTCTTGAGTGGTCGTAAGGGGTTCACCATTTTGGACACACACAAAGATTGGCGGTTCAATAATGGACCTCTAGTACAGAACTTCAACAGCAGATTTTATTGCGGTAATTAAACTCCTTTTTCATCGATAGCCATTTTGAGATCATTCCAACTGACCATCTTTCTTTCCAAAGGTGTCCCCTTGATGGCCCCTAACTTGGATGGTACTGAGGAATCTGATATGGCAGCTTGCCCGCTAGGTACTTTATGTGTTGTGGACGACAAACCGCGCGAAGAGTTTGGGGTCGACGAACGTAAAAAACTCGTCTACATGGCAGAGTACGCCCGTCGAGAGATTGAAAAGTGGTTTTTGAATAAGATGGCGCAAAAAATGGAGACTTTAGAAGATTCACATAAGAATTTTGTTCAGGAAGCTGAAAAAGTAGGAGGCGAGGAAGATGAATCCGGTAATCAGACTGAAGCTCTCATTGATACATCTCCTGCTGAGGATTTCTCAACACCGGAACCTCGGCGAACGCCAGTCAGAAATTCGAGCTTGTCTGCGTTGATCAACTTACCGTCATCTATCATCTCTCCATCGCCTTCCTCTATTGGTGAGACTTCTTTAAATAAGGTGCCCACTTCAACGTCCCAAGGTCCGAAAATATTTGAGGATGGCAAATCAGCAATCAAACCGAAGATGCAAAAGATTTTCGACTTGGCTACTAAACTCGTGGGCGACACTCTCGATCTGTCTCTCGTATATCTAATTGCTGTCAAGCCCGCTCCAAAAGCTTCAAGTGAATCTGATCAAAGCGTCATCCTTTCAGGATATAATCTACCCTCACCTCTCCCTGTATTCGATTCTAAACTACATCTACGCGCCCTTCATGCCGCAGAAGGCGGCTTATTGTACCAAAACCCTAGTACAGCGGAATCCGCAGAAGCGGGCCTCAATTCTGTCGCACTGGAATCAAACCCATACGCCTCAGCTATGATTATACGTGTGGGAGAAGAACCCAGTGAAAATAGTGGAGGATTTCTATTGGCCGGCTTTACTAGCGATGCGAAGCGAGTGATTGGTGGTGAAGATGTGTCTTATATGAAACAATTCTCTAGCGAACTGGCTCGATATACAGCTAAATTGAAACTACAATAAAGCACGAAGTCGCCTGGCTTGGTAGGTGCTGTGTTACGGCATCAAGTTCATTCCTATGGGTTCTCTTGTTCTAGCTTATCTCCCATTTATCCATTTCAGTGGTGTTTCTTGCTGCTCGGTCCGTTGAATGGCATTTTCCTGTTGTACCTGCCGTTGTATTCCTTTTCTCTTGGTATACTCATGTTTCCTTAGCAATCTTTAATGAAAACAGAAGCATAATTTATTTGGAAAAGCCTGATCTGCTGCACTGATGTCTCAATTGCTAAGATCTCAAATTTATGTGCCACATCCCTCCTATAGAAGTTTAATTAACATACGATTTCACCGCAGGGTAAGTTGTTTTAGCACAAAGCTGTCATCCTTGTGTAAAAAGTGAGGTCTTATGTCCAGCAATGATCTGCGATCTCAATTCACCGCGGCCCGTTTTACTAGAGCTTAATGGGTATACATAGACCGCTGGAGAGCTAGGACAAAAGTAGGGAGGTATGGTTTTGTAAAGGAGGATAGCCAAAATCTTCTCAAAGATCAAAGATCAAGATCATAGAAAATATTCACTTCAACTATCAATGGTTAAGATCGGTGCAGCCAACCAAGGCACGACTTGGCCGGAGAGTAGCCGTATCGGTCTCGACGGGAGACAACGGGAGACAACGGCTGTACAGCTTTCTGTACAGCGCGTCTTGACCGATCTGAAGCCTGAAGCAGTACATAAGTACATACCCCTGCGTTTGTCCGACTCGCAGTCGAATCCCATCCAACCTCGTCGCTATCGTTTTCTTCTATCTTTTGCAATCATGCTTTTCAAAAGCATCGCCAACCGCTTGAAATCCATCCCAGCGATATGGGACAATCTGCAATTTGAAGATTTAGTCAAGTTTTGTCTGGTCAGCAGTGACCTGATCAAGCGCGCAGGACGTGGCCTCAGTCTGACCGAGAAAGAAACTCCGATGGATTACATTCACGCGGCACTTAATGAACAAATCCCACATTTTGCTCTGGCGCAGATGTGGGTCACAACATTCCCATGCTTAGAGCATTGCCATCTCAACCCAGTTAATATTATTGAGATGCGAGGATGCCTGGTCTTGGATAGGGGAGCCTATCAAGCGGGTTCTGAAGGATTGGAAAGCTTGTTGATAACTTCCACATCGTGATATTTGAGGGTCAATGAGATTTCAGTGAACTCGCTGGAAGAGTTCAACTTGAGTTGAAGAGTTCAACATTATCATAACCCCTCCATTGATTATCCATAAAAGGTGACTATCAGACTTTGCATCCCTGGGATGCATCTTACATTCTTGAGATGCATCTCTTTTGGTGCTTGTGTCTGCGGGTAGTGGTGTCTACTCGGTACTTAGTCTCTGGGTTGTCTCTCGGTCGTCTATCGTCTCCCGTGGAGACTGATACGCTTACGCTCCCGACTTGGCGGCGAGTTCCATGGCTGGGGCGCATGTTGTAACGGCTACAAGCATATGCTAATAGCACGACCAATGTGGCGTGCAGGAAATATTTTCTCTCCCACTGAAGAGGAAATCATTTCACTCCCCCACGCCATACACTCAGCAGCCACCAAACTCAGCACATCCTTTTCCACAAACTTAAATAAGTACCAGTCTGGACCTAATCACCAACTCCAGAGAGGGACTTACACGTAAAGTTGAAATCTTGGCATGGAATTGGACGGGGCATTTTGTCAAAATCTAGCTGCCTTATAAAACTTTTTTTTGCGCTTTCAACTTACAGCCATTCCAATATTTCTTGTCACTCACATTTTTGAAAAGAAAAAGTTGATGAGCTCAAAACCTAAGGGCCCGTTCGGCTGTTTTTCCCAAAAATTGTTACACAAAAACGAATTTTCATTTTGCCCTGTTTTCAAGGGGCAAAATGAAAAGCTTGAAACTTGGCTTTTTTGTTTACCAAACGGTCAACCAAAAAGGTCAACAAAAGATCATTTTGATCATTGTTGACCTTTTGATCACCGGTTGAGTGTTTGGTAACAATCATTCAAAAACCCTTTGTGACCAAAACTTTTCAAACGATTGCTCATAAAACCCATCCATCACGGTCATCAAAGACCACTATCATTCATCCTTGACTCAATACCCTCAATTGAATCATTCTTCAGTTCTCAATCCATAATCAACTTTATTGAATATTTTAATTCACATTAACACTTATACTGGTAGAAATTTTGATCACTAACTGATCAGACAGTCCTACATTTGTAGCACCATTTATATATACAAATGTAGTTGATGATATTTCATATAAAGGTTTAATGATTTTGTATTTAAATCAGACAGGGACAACATTGTTATATAAAGGTTCAATAATTTTTAATTTAAATCAGACAGCAACAACATTTTTATCTAAAGGTGTTAACACAATTCCTTGATACCAGAAAGTCAGTACTAGAGTTGTATCAGCATGTATGTATACAGATGTACTTGATGATATTCGAAGTCGATCTGGAAGGTAAATGATAGAGAGTGAAAAGATAGATTGATTGATGTGTTAAAAAACGATGTCAGAGTTGTTAAAAACAATGATAGTGTTGGCGATAGACTGGTTAAAAAAAGAGTTGTTAAAAGACAACAATAGATGAAAAAGGTGATGAAATAGTTGTTCCAGATGATGATTAAGTTGTTAAAAGATGACAAAAGAGAACATTTGCTGAAAAGATAACAAAATGGTTGTTAAAGACAATGATTGAGTTGCTGAAGAGGACAAGAGAAAAGAACAATAGGTGGTGGACAGAGGTGAGTGAAGGTGGAAGGGTGTTGAGTGGGCAAGGTTGATCGATTGAGTTGAGGGGCAAAAGCAGCTTTTGACTTCAAAAACAGCCTCAAGGCTGTTTTTGAAATTGAACAAACTTTTGATCAAAATCGGTCTTTGATTTTGATCAATCAAACTTACCAAACGCTCTTGTTTTTGACCAAAATCAAAAACTGCTTTTGGTCACAAGTGATATTTGACTTTGGTGAAGCTTTTGACCAAAAGTAGCTTTTGGGTTCCAGCCAAACGGGCCCTAAGTTTTAACCAGTTAAAACCTGAAAATTGGCCGTAATTCCTTGATTTAGGGAACAAGCGGCCTTCGGGAGAACCCTGACAGTACTGTCAGAGACTGACAGTGACCCCTTTCACAACACATTACACAAACGGTGTAATTTGGGACCTACACCTCACACACCCCATGACAGGCTCACACCAGTCACATGAAAGGCTGATGAAATGCCTACAGCTCATTCACGCCAGCTGACAGGCAGTGTTCCAGCCCCGGGGCAAAAAATTGTAATCAATGCCGGGTATGGCGCCCCCAATACCGCAAGAGCACCGCACTATGTTGCAGTTGCGGTGCGGTTGCGTAGCGCTTTTGGGCGCCGCAATAGCAACGCAATATAGTGCGGTGCCAGCGCTCCGCAATCCGGGTTCAAAAAACCCCTTGGTCAGAAACCCGCACCATAATTGTGGTCGGTTTTTGACGGTTATTTAGGGCAAATATTGCGGAAATAGGGCAATATTGCACATTTTCCACAATATTTGCCCGACCGCTCCGCAACGGCAAGTTAGAAAAAAAACACCCCATTGCGGAGTGGTTGGGTAGTGTAATAATGCGCCAACTGCGCAACGCAATGGAAATAGGTTGAAATCCATTGCGTTGCGTAGCGCTTGCGGTGTTGGCGCCCCTCCCCTCACACGACCAGCTCAGCATCAACTAAAACTATCACCACTCACTTCTCTAGCTCAGCATCGTATCATCAATCATTTTTCCTCTCATCAACGAATCCATATTAATACAACACAACAATAAAGCTACGACATGGAGATAGATCCCAACAATACTCACCGGTACATCAAGTCCACCTTTCAGCGCCTACTCCCAGGCACTGTGTTCCCCACTCCCGTATTATGGGCGTTACTCCCCCTAGCCTGCCCGGCGTGCCTGGAAGAAACCGATCCGAAGACAACACCATTGAAATATATTGTACAGTACCCATTTGGGTGGTGTGTTGCGGTTGGTGTCCCGTTGTGATTTTCAAATCATTGGTTTTGGGCCTTTGCTCACTATTTCTCACATGTATAATTTTCTTTTTCAGTGTGCAATTAAGCCAGTCGGTGTCAAAGGCCACTGGTATTGCACGTGGAGTTCCGCCCAACTGAACCACGAGATAGCGTCCATCAACATTGGCAATTGGCCCCCGAATCCTTTTCCTAAACCGCGTCCGGCCCCCGCAGCGCCTATTCCGATCACACCCAGCCAACAGTTGTTGAATCAACTTTTCAAGCCCCCCAAAAATCAACCGCGTTTGCTCGCCAGCAATGGCATACTATGCCATGGAGTGAACGGGCAGACAGGCGCCACTCACAAAGGCAAAGACACTCGGAGAGGAAACAAGGACTGTGTTTTCAGGGCTTGCGCCGCTGTAAGCTCCTCCCTCTCACTCTATACACCTCGCGTTAGTTGACCAGGTTCAATGTTGGAAACAGTGCTGTCAAACGTTGGGTGATCAAGCGTGTGGGGCCAAAGGCCACCGGAAACCTTCACCTTCCGCGCCCAGTGGACCTTCCACGGTCCACCCGTTTTTGAATCGTACAGAGAAGGATGTAACCAAGTCTGATATCAATTATGATATCAATTCCGATGGTTTGCCAGGCACGTTACGCTCTGCTCGGCCTCCCCCAGTCCCCCATTGCCGCATCCCGCTTCAAAGCGCCCAGACTGGCGGTCGCTTGGCACACAAATTTAGCCCTTCTCAGCTCGCCACTTTGTTCAATATGCGATCAGAGCGGGAGCAAAGCATCCCTCGTAACCAAAAATTTGAAGCTGACGCAGCGAAGGTGGTCACTGTAATTGCTTGGCTTAAGGTTAGTGTGATAACTGCTTGTATCATGTTACACATCACATAAGTTAACTGTCATCCTTTAGCCAAACAAGGACCCCGATTACATGACTTTTTTTGGCACCAAAGTGGCCGTCCTTCGCCTTGCATCAGTCTCAAAAGCTGGTCAACGCCGCTGCCCTCCAAGAGGGTCTGTCTGCCAACTCCTCATGGACTCGATCGCTCAGTTTGTGGGATCCGCAATTGTTGGGATGGGTGAGTACAATCCTACTTTATTTCTCATTAACTTGTTTGATTTTTTTTGTTTGTTCTTCTATAGCTCAGCACAGACATCGACCTACCGACACGCTTTCCCATCACCCCACGTCAGATTTTGGTCAAACTTGAGGGAATAGAAAGGGAAGAGTGTTTCCAGTTCGATCGCCTGTTACACACAACGTACGATTCCATGCCTGGCCCCCTTAATCCTCCTGGGTATCAACGATCATCAGCTCCCTCGACTTCTTGGCTCCAGAATGAACCCACACCGCTTTCCACCATCGCTGAAAACTCTCAAGCAACACACAATGTGACTCCTTGTCATACTCCCCCAGAAATTCTTTTGAACATAACCTCACCCGAAAACCCTGGGGCGGAGGTCGTTCAATATGATCCAGCGACTCAAGATCCCAATGTTGTGAGCTCTTTTCTCACCCAGTCTCCTCACCCATGTATGTGCCCCTTCAGTGGCTCATAGGCTTGGTTCCAACTCGGTACAGCCTACCACAGCTTCAATAGTTCTCAAAACGGCGTGGCCCGACGTTGAAGCCCCCATGAGTGACCTCTGGGAGTGGTGCAACATGATGATTACAACACAGATGGAGGTATTACCTGCGTGGGACGTCTTTTTTGCAGCCGATTTTGAACGTAAAGATAGCACTGTCTATTGCTATGCTTGGTGGCTCAATCGGATTGCCAAAATCCCGCGGGCTTGGGACAACTGGATTAAACAGCAGACAAGCCTCGGTGACCCTGTGACAATTTTCGCGGGGCGCAAACACTGGCGTGCGTTGTTCACTGCAGTGGGATGTCCTCCACCTGCCGGAGCACCAGCGGCTCCAGCAGGTGGAGCTCCTGCTGCATCTTCTCAAGCTCCCTCTGCCACTTTGTCTAATAATGCACCGGTTCGCCAGAAGAGCAAAAAAAGAAAACTCGGAAAATATGTTAGGTGAATGACTACCGAAAAGTATTTCCTATCTGTGTTGGAAACTGACCCTTCCCGTCTTTCCTATCTGTTTTGGAACTGACCCTCTCCCCAAAAACAATCTGTGCACGTATCACCTTTATCATGTACACACGATGATGTTTTAATGTTCATCACAACAACTTGTCAAATCCAAACCTAGCTTTGTAACTGCCAAAACTCAACGTGGTAGCTGTGACATCAAGTCACAAATCACACAGCCGACATTCCCTCGATCTTCCTCACGAGGTTAGTACCTCGTTTCCCTTATTGAGATATGACCTAACTCTCAAGAACGGAGGAGTGCCAATGGAGGAGTGCATTGGTTTGCCAGGGTGACCTAGCTAGCAAGGCATTCCAATCGCTCACTCACTAATCCTTTTAGTCTCCTCTCGGCTGGTTCGCGAGCTGAGAATGTAGCTAGCTAAGCAAGTATCCCTCTCAAGCTTGGACGCGAGTGAAGAGGAGACTAAGGATGTCTTTTTCTTTTTGTAAGGTAGTCATCGATCTCCCTTCCCTCGTTACTGTGTCTTTCTTCATTAATTGCTATCTTCCAATTGCTTTCCTCCACGTCTTCTATCTCCCGGAATTTCAATCAATCCCTCGAGTTTCCCGTTTGAATTCAAAGTCTGAATTATTTTTCATTGTCCGTCTTTTCAACTACACATACTGAGGATATCTCTTGAGGAAGATTTTGATTTTAACCACTCTAATCTTTTTGTTTTTTACCCTCATCTTTCCATCCCATCTTTGCTAGCAATCTATCTACTCACAAACATGGAAAGCATGCTAGATTACGATTCTGATATTGATATCAGCAATGCCGACCTTACGGTTTTGGCTGACACCAAAACCATGCCTACTCAAGGTACCGTACTTGAGGTGGAAGTCGACAGTAGTGACCCACCACGCGTCAATGCACCAATAGCCCCCGTTGAACATGGAGTTGAAAAAGATGATGCTGCGGAGGTTGTGCCTGAAGTCAAAGACAACGCTGTTGCTGAGGAGGATGACAAATTCGAGGAGATCATTCCTATCACCCTGCACTACGTGTGTGGATTTGGTATGATGATTGCTCTATCTACCTACCCGTCTTGTCCAGTGAACTGATCTGCCTTCTGCTCTTGACAGACGATCCTGTTTCTGCCCATGGACTGAACTTACTGGACTCACCACTCTTGGGCCACGGCTTGCTACCAATTGTACAACTTCCCCCCACCCCTGATACCAATGTCACAATGTTTTCCCTCCTCGGTAACCCTGGTGAGGACGTTGTAGAGTGGTCTTTCAAGGGCAAACATGCCCAAATCACTTTCACGCACAATCTCATACACCGATGGAATTTCCGCTCAACTTACAAGGCCAAAATTACATGTGGTGATCAACAGACTGTTCTGGGTGTCCGGGCGTTCGCCAATCCGGATTTCTCCCTTGAGACTTGTCTTGGAACAGCCCAGGCCTATTTCCACGTCGCTGTGTACCTCGAACAGTTCCGGTACGGCCTCGTGCCCCTCATGCCCCCTGGGAAAGGGCGTGACTTGGAGCGGGAGACTCTTATAGCTCTGCGAGTGAGTCACCCGTCTGCTCTGCTTATCGTTTCTTTGGCTGAGCTGATGTTTCTCTTTGTTTCTTTCTTTGTTTGGCGTTCAGTTCCAAGAGAAACTTGTGGGAATGATGCACGAGGCGCCTGATCTTGGTAGAGGCCTTGGTCAATTGAAAGCTTTCACCGCTGAAGAGTTGATCGTGGGTCCTTGGGAGAAGTACAGCCTGGAGACCTCTTTCTTTCCAATCAAACCCCAAACTGGTCATCACGATCTTTCTGAGATCATGCGCCACTTGCTTAACGCTTTTACTCACTGGACATATCAACGGAGTGGCCAAACCGGCTTCATTACGGGTTTCCAGGGTGTGGGGTCCGTGATCACAGAGGCAGTTATCCATGATACCACGTGCGCGTCTCCCTATCCCTAAACAACCCGATCAGGTGACTGACAAATGTTTGGTATGGTTAGTGCCCGGTGGACAAGTGGCAATCTTGGTAAATCGGCTTTGGCTGAGTTTCCAAAGGAGCGCATTTGCAACCGATTTTGTCATCTCCTTGTTGAGAATTGATGGTGAGGCGCTCGTTTTTTTTGATGTGTATCATAGGTCCACACTCAAATTTCATTGCATCGGTCTTGTTTACCAGGTCGCACACATATTCACAAAATATATACAAACCCGAAAACACTCTGCTTCTCTTCTGCTTCCCTTAATTTAAATCATGTCTACACTTAAAGATGTCTTCCTGCGATTGTTTGTTTCAATTGTCACCTATGGCCCTGATAAAGGCCAATTATTCTTTCCTTATTTGAAAAATGAACATGATTGTCTCATAATGAAAGCCATGAAGATAAACTTGAAGGCCATTGATTTTTGTTTAGGTCATTCATGAAATCCATCTTGAACCCAACCTGTGATTTGATTTGTTTGAAGTGGAAGTTGATTAATTTTGAGCATCATGTAGGAACATTACCTTATTCTTAAAAGAAATACTTTTTTTGGTCAAAATGAACAATATGCTCCAACATGCGAGAAGGCCAGTGAGAAGCGAGCCAAACTGCACCATTGAAACAAGATGATTCTTTTTGTTGTGTGAAACAACAAAACAAATTCATTAGGGAGAGTTTTAATTATCCCTCATCAAAAAAATTCAAATTCAATCTTGTTCTTTTTACATGTGTCGTGTTTATTACGGGTGAAAAATGGAATAAACAAAAGAGTTGTCGTAATTTGCACATGAGACACAAACACAACTTCACACGTCACAACTTGGTACACATTGATTTTCTTACATAACTCTAGCATTAAGCGGAAGGTTTAGCATTCAGCAGAAGGCTACCCAAAAATCGGATATTTTTCCTCTTGTTGAGCCTTTGGATCAGCCAGTCATTACGGCGGTCAACCATCTCCTCCATCATGAAGTTGAAACGTACAGGTGACATGCTTCTCGCCAAGGATGCAAAACCTTTGTACCAGAGATTAGCTAGTTCTCCGGCGGAAGCATTGAATTACCAGTCAGCACCATCATGAAGTTCGGGGAAAAGTTTGGGGTCAGTATAATACTGGCATAAGTCGTCACTTTCTTTATGTCCTCGAAAGTGGAAAGGGTCGACAGGAAACACAGTTTCTAAGGAAGGTGTGTAGTCATCACCACCATTGTAAATATGGTTGACCAACTTGCAAGCGTTATTGTAAAAGCAGACTTCAGGCATGCGTTCCGGAAACATATGTAAGATAAAATCCTGTGGAGGCAAATGCCAATCATGGTTCAAAGATTAGATATGTATATGAATTAGAGGTCAAGGGAGTACTCACCCGTACTGCACTGACACCTTCCGAGTGAAAAAACATTTCACGCGCTAAGATGATGCCACAACATCTCACAATCAGCTGGTCGTTGTGAGTGCGACTCCGAGAAAAGCACACATGATCGCCTTTCTTGCCCTTGGGGGCATCAGCTCCCTCGCGAACTTGCTCATGAGCGCGATCAGCCTCGTCGCCGTCCTGAACTTCGTCCATATCCACCAATTCTGCAGTGTTCCAGTCTTGGTGCACAGTGGGGTCGGACGGTAGACTTGAGCCTGGCCGGTTGAGCATTGACGTGAGTGAGAAGTTGGAACTGACTCGGGCTTTGAATTTGGAGTAAGACTTGATATGCTCTTCAAGCTCGCACGTCTTGGAACCATCTGCCGCGTCGTTGCGGCACGGCTGTGCCTGGCAAAGTTGACCTAGGAGCTTCTCATGGTGAGCGCAAAAACGGTCCTTCACGCATGCCAGAGGAGTGGTGCAAGGACCGTTTGGGGGGGACAATCCTTCTGCGAGGGCTAAATTGCGCAATTGTTGGGATGTTGCCAAGCACCGCCAGTGTCCAATGGTGATGCGATCGGTGACCACCGCTCAAATATCTGGTACATTCAGGTGAGATGGTTTATCAGACAATATCACCACTATTTCGAGGAGGACTGCGATGCACTTACAGCCCAACTCGGCTTTGCCATCTTCACCTGGCAGCGGGACCACTCGGAGACAGGCAGAGCACACGTGATCTTGGTGTTTGCTTCCTTTGAGTGCAATCCATTCAAGCTCGGCCTGCATTGCTGCATGGTAACGTTGGTCGGCGGGTGCAGAAGTGTCGACAATCAAAGGATTTTTCCGGCGGTCCGCTCGCTGTAGTAAGGAGTGCATGTCTAACGCGTCTCTGCATGAGATTTCGGACAAGGCTGGTAAGACCGTAGGTGCCGTGGGAAGTTCAGGTAAAGAAAGCGTATCAACATGAGACCAGTTGAACATATTGACAAGATTGAAGTTGGAAATGCTACATTCAGAAGCAAACAAGAAAGTAAGAAGGTGTTTCAGTTAGTGTATTATAGTCCGATGGGAGTTAAAGCTTACTGGGCAAGCATCTGGCCATTTCGCAGAAACTTGGCAAGTCTGTGTGTTATAAAGAAGTGACAGCTAATTTGATAGCAATCACGGCTTTGCCCTTCATCTGCGGAGTAGTACGTGCGAATCCGCTTAGCGGAGTAGTAGCTAGGCCAGTAAGCTGTTGCACATTCTGAACGGTAAGGGGTACAGAGGGGAACAGGTTGGCGAGGTGAACATCCACAGTCGGTCCAAATGATGAAGCTTACTGGGACATTTAAGTGTAACAATGCCAATGGTGTGGACACCTTCCATCTAGCCGTGAGCGGTGATGCAATTTTTGGACGGGATGACAGATCAAGCATTCGTTGACTGGGGCGATTGCGATAGATTCTGGTATATGCTTCCCGATATCGGAAGTGTAGCCATGTTTCTGAATCAAGACTCCTGGTTGTACATGAAATTGTCTCAGCATATGGAAGAGGGCGTGATACAGTTGATACGTCAAGTGAATTGGAAGCGAAAGGTTCAGCGCGGCCCCTGAGAAAGGCACGGGTGATTTGTCGCGGGTGAACCATGCTCCTCTGGTACGAGCCTCGACTTTGGCGGCAAGCACAGCAAACCAGACAAGATCACCCAGTTCAAGGGTTGAGTGAAGTTTGGGGTAGTCGTTGGCAAGAACTTCCATGAAATCGATAAGATACACTGCCGAGGTGATGGGGTGAGACTGTGCGTGAGGTGATCTTTCTTGGATGTAAGTAACTTTGGAGCAATCGGGTGAGTCACCGGTGGTGTGAGTACCGCATGTGATGGGGGGTGGTGAAATGAGAGCTTCAATGTCACCATGTGTGTCGAGGATGTGTTTGGTGTAAAGAAATGGGTACGGACAGGTTGGGATCAAGGGATTTCGCAAGTGGGTATAACCCATGAAGACATGGGGTTACGCAAGGCGTGACTGTCAGTGTCACTGTCAGCGCCTGGCAGCCGCCGCCCTCCCAAAGGCCGCGACCTCCGTTGATTTACAGCCAATTTCAAAGTTTTATTGAGTAAAAACTTAGGTTTCACTGAGTTTCACTTTTTCTTCTTTCAAAACCAAGCGACAAGAAATATTGGAATGGCTGTGCCCTTGCCCCAAAAAAGAAAAGTGTGCGCCTCAGCTGTCTCCATAAGCTTGTACTTTTGGTTTGTCAGTAAAATAATTGGTTCTGTAGATATATCAAAAAGTCTTCCAGGGCTCAAAGACAAAAATCAGGTAATTTGCACTGATTCGTGTCTAAAATGTCGGTTTTGGTGTACTATTAAAATACAATTTTTTTGCTTTACTTCAGAACCAATGAGATCATTGGGATATCACAAGCGCTGGGTTGTAGAAAAAATTAAGGCGCACAACTTTCATATTTTTTGCAAGGGTGATTTGAAAGCGTGAAAAAAAGTTTTATAAGGAGGCTAGATTTTGACAAAATGCCCCGTCCAATTCCACGCCAAGATTTAGACTTTACGTGTAAGTCCCTCTCTGGAGTTGATGGTTAGGTCCAGACTGGGACTTAGTTAAGTTTGCTTTTCCAGATCCACATTCAGTTCTTAAGGCATGGACCCGGCACCAACCAGCGGGTGAGCCTGAGCCGGGCTTGGGCTTGGGCTCAGGCTTTTTGGGCCTCAGCCTCAGAAATTTGCCCTTGGGCCCAGCGTGGGTGCTCTCGGGGAAGCCAAAAGGGCTGAAACTAAGGGTTTTGAGTGATTGTAGCAATGAAAGTGGGTCTGAGAGGCTCATAAAAGTGGCGATGGAACCCAAACAGCAAAAAATAGGGCTTCAAATGACCAATATAAAGCGCCTGAAATTGTCTATTTTATCTTATTTTTGTTATTTTTGCTGTGCAGCACGGAAATTGTTTTCACTCGGGCCAGTCCAGGCCGGGCTGGGTCCAAGCCTTAGTTCTCATTTTGTTATCTGTCATTATTAACAAAGAAATTTTGGTGCAACTAATGGTATCAACAAACTGAATACAAAATCTCACTATACAGAAGTAAACCAAGACAGATCCAAGATGGTAACCTTTTTGGAAGAACTTGCAGAATCACGGAAACAAGCTGAGGAGGCGCTATACAACAGAGAGTCGGGTCCCAGAATCAAAAGCAGGTCTAGAAACCGTAACAAGACAGACAATCAGAATACTGTCAACAAAAACAAAGGGGAAGAAGCAGAAACGGCCAGCACACCTGCAGCAGAGTCCAACATAGAGTTTGTAAGCAACCACAAACAAGTGCCAGGCACCAAATTGGCCCCTACCAACTCAGGAGGTGTAATCAAAGGCGTGGGCGCAGGATTGATATGCCCATTTGGGCAAGTGCAGATGGAGAAGGATTTGACAAAGGCCAATAGTGATCTGAGCGAAGAGGAAGTCAATGGAGGTAACACACAGGGTGGTAGCACCAATACCAGAACCGCTCCAATAAATATATTGGGAGCGGAGTGGTCTATCCACCGCTACAGTGACCAATATATGTAGCGGGGGGACCGCTCCAACATCTCAAGGCCACCCAGCTCATAGCCGCCCGACCGCTTTGATACGGGCCGGACCCGAGGTTTGTCCGATATATATTGGACAAAACTCATAGATACCCTGTACCCACATCCCTGGGTACAGGGTATGGTACATCACGTACCATACAATACCTCCTCCCTCCTCCTCCCTTGTATCAGCCACCACCTACTTTGATCTCCTAGGCGCCACCAAATCTTGATCTATTACTGACAATTCCAATACAATGGACACCAGTTGGACAATTATTCAGAAGTGGCTCACTTTTGGTTCGTCCCACTTTTGGGTTTTCAAAAGGTAAGCAAGGTCCTTCCTCCTCCTCCTGCTCCATCCAATAACTTTCACAAGTTAACTGATTGATTGTTTTGTCTTGTTCCTTCATCTTATTTTTCACAACCTGTCTAATCGAACAAATCAAATCATTTTTGTTTCTTGTTCTTTAAAGATTACACTCTTCAATCATGGCCTTGTCATCTCAAAACACTAGCTCTTTACAGGTTCCCACTCAAGCATCTGCTCAATCTTCTTAATCATCTGCTAGAGTTCTTAGACCAACCAGCCCAGCACGATCACAGCCAGGGTTTGTGGTTCCTCCAAAGGATTCACGCACTGGCCTTTTGATGCCGGACGACGACAGCCAATCATCTGGACCTCTTGCTAACCGTTCTGTGTCACCTCGACCCCCCAATCTCAGAAAGAACACTGACCATAAGAAGGCACCAGCAGCCGCTCAATCCAAGGCTAAGCCAATTGCAAAAGGGAAGGTCAGTCCTTCCATCTACATCTTGTGTATTGTAGAGTATACTGACTGACTCACTTACATTATCCATTGTATACTAGAATTGGTCATTGGCCAGTAAGCGTGCCCAATCTCCTTCACCAACGCGAAGCTCTCAAAGCACACAGGGTGGCACACCTCCACCCTCGAAGAGCAAGAGACGTAAGGAGAGATCAAAGGAGAACGCAAGTGACAGGTTTCACAAACCAAAGTTTTTTTTAATTATCTTCTAATGATGTACTTTTCAGGAGTACGAGATACCTGAAGAAATGGACATACCCCAAGATTCCGAAGTCAAGTATCTTGGTACCCACAAACCAGGGTATACCAAAGTTTGAGGGGACCGAGTGAAGGAGCTCCTCACGTATTTCCATCCCCTCAAGGTACGTTCTCTCAGTTCAACCAACAGATTTCTCTTGCTTCATTACAGACTTGTCATGATGTGGTCATCAGGCTGATGTACCTTTTTTAATGTTTATTATAGGGCTTAGAGTATAAGTGTTGTTGGTGTAAGAACACCTATGCTAAAGGTGAAGACACCTATTGGAACTTGTGGGGCCATTGAGACAGCGACTCGAAACGACCCACTTGTTCTCATCAAGCACAAGCAATTGCTCAAGGTCTTGATCTCCCACCAAGCTATGCCAAACATCAGGCTGCTTTGAAGAAGGACAAGAACTCAAAAATCACTTCACATTTCAATGCGCCTGCTTTTACTGTAGATCTTTTGAATCTGATGTTAGTGATATGGATCGTGCGCCATGCGCTGCCATGGGCTCAATTTGAAGACCCCACCCTTCGTGCCGCTTTTTCAACTGTCAACCAAAGCGCTGTGGTTCAATCTTCAACTTGGGCGGCAAAGCAATCACTGGAACTCTTTTCAGGGTTGCACAACAAGGCCATCAACAATATAATTGTAAGTCAGCGAACTAAATTGATTCAAACTGGGAATACCAGTCCACCCATCTTACCCTCAAGATGGTGGGATGGCGCCACTTTGGGGTCCTCCTTGCCCGACCAATTGGGTGTTTCCTGGTGCGACATGGCCTCCATAAAAATATGAGTGCCTTCCATCTTTATTTTTATTGTATCATCTTATTTACTTATTCATACAATTTTTTCTCTATTTGAATATTTTTTTCCTCTATGTGTTTCCTGACCTACTCACATGTTGGCTCAGACAACCGACAGCGGAGGTAACAATGTTACCATGTCTTCGGAACTTCAGAAGATGTTCTCTGACGCTGACGATCCCGTGTTTTGGGATGGACATTTGCACCATATCCGGTGCTATGCTCACAAGCTCAACCTCGTGGTTGGGCATGGGCTGAAAAGTCTTGGTCAGAAGGTAGGTCAACCCAAGCAAAGTATTCCACATGGCATTTCACTTCCTATTCCAGCTATTGAGGTCAACGGCGACAAATGCGACACTGAGGAAGAACCAGAATCAGAAGAAGATGATGATGCTGATCTACCTTCTGAGCCTGATGGAGTCCATGACGACAAACAAATTGAGGAAAGTGACAGGTTTTTTTTGTGATAAAGGAGATGTTGTTGCAAAGGCTCTCGTCAAAGTATGTTTTAGTTTTTTTAATTGCACTATCTATTCTTTGAACATTGGGCTGACACCAATACCGCAAGAGCACCGCACTATGTTGCGGTTGCGGTGCGGTTGCGTAGCGCTTTTGGGCGCGCAATAGCAACGCACTATAGTGCGGTGCCAGCACTCCGCAACCCGGGTTCAAAAAACCTGTTGCTCAGAAACCCGCACCGCAATTGCAGTTGGTTTTTGACAGTTATTTAGGGCAAATCTTGCGGAAATAGGGCAATATTGCGCATTTTCCACAATATTTGCCCGACTGCTCCACAACAGCGAGGTAGAAAAAAAACACCCCATTGCGGAGTGGTTGCGTAGCGTAATAGTGCGCCCACTGCGCAACACAATGGAAATAAGTCAAAATCCATTGTGTTGCGTAGCGCTTGTGGTGTTGCTGACACTATGTATCTATCTTTATGTAGGTTGATACAATCAGTGGCCAGATTGCTAGCAGTGCAGCCCAATGAAGTGATTTCAAGACTCGTGCTACATGATTGGGATATACTGGGACAATGGTCAAAAGACCTTGCAAGACAAGGTGGAACAGTCACTACGAAAGTAGAAAGATTGCCTGTGAGGCACAGGAGGTACGTTTGTCGTTTAACTTTCTTTCTGTCTTCTGTATTACATGACTCATGTCCCCTCCTTCTTATGTGCAGGTTATCAACTCAATGATTTCCGCTGATCACAAAGCATGTTTCTTTCAAGGCGTTACCATTTTGGCTTCAGAATGGCACACGGTCGAGTTAGTGAACAAGGTGTTAAAGGTACGTAGATGTTTCTAACATGTATACCTTCTATGTCTGGATTTTGTACTGATCAAAATTAAATCTTATTACACATTTGTCAACACCACAGCTCGAGTTGAAGGTAACGGTCCAACTGGATGCATCGTCCTTGCCAAATACAAACGGGTGATTAGCAATCTCAAGGCCCATCAAGCTGAATCGATCTTTCCAAGCCTGGACAAAGCCATCAATATCATGATCAAATGGCTTGAAAAGCATCAGGACAAGGCAATCAACTGTGAAGCCTTAGTCCTTGCAACAACTCTCAACCCGCGCTTCCGAGGAAAGTTTTTCTCCGTGCACTATCCTGAACACGAAGTCTCATCTCAAGTTGCAATTGAAGAAGCTTTCAACCATCTCTTGAAAGAAACCAGAGTAACTGATGACATCCTACCACCCGAGCAAAATATTGAAACCGAGTTAGATGAATTTGATATATTTGGATCGGGAAACGGTGGTACCAATTCAAGGGCTTCTTCCAAATTAGACACCTACTTACAGGGTGACTGCCCCATCAAAAAGGATCAGTCACCACTCCAGTGGTGGAAGGTTAGTATTTCCACTTTTAATTCAATATCAATCTGCTCAAAGTTGGCTAACATGGTTTCTTTTCACCAACAGGAACATCAATTTCAATTTCCTATCCTCTCGAAACTTGCTTAGGATTACTTAGCAATATCTGCTACCTCCTGCGCATGTGAGCGTACATTCTCGGCGGCTGCCAATGTTTGTACGCCTTCACGAGGTAGTCTCCAGCCTTGTACCGTGGAGCGCCTTGTAGGTTCTCAAGTATGGTTGAAGGAAGGAATCACACCGGATGGAGTATTTGAAGGTGCTTCAATGGCTCTTAAAGTTTATATGGAAGGACTGGCAAAAAAGAAAGGTAAAGATGGACTGGCAAAAAAGAAAGGTAAAGATGGACTGGTAAACAACAAAGGCTAGCAATTGATTGAAGTTTGCATCCACCTTCAAAAAATCAAGAATGTTTTTTTTTACTTTTTTAACTTTCACATACAAGTTATATGATATGTTTGCTTCTTGATATGTTTCCTCTAAACCTCCAGGCCTACTCTCCTACCTGGTCAAGGCCTATAGGCCTTGTCAGTGTACACATAGGCTTCTTTTTGTGAAATTGATTTTGCTACTTGGTATTGGCGCTATATATCGGTGTTGGAGCGGCAGAACGGCTCCGATGTGGTGATCAATTTAAGGCATCAATCAAGTAATTCATATTTAGTAGTTTACCAGTTTATTAGAAAAGATTAGCAGGACAGAAAATTTGAAATGGAGGTTTTTGGATCAATTGAAGCTCTTATAGGCTGATGTATTGGTCATTGGGTTAACATTACATCATTTTATTTCACATTACTTATTAAGATCATTAGAGTTCATTCACAAAGCTATTACAAGAAGAAAGAAACAAAGTACATAAGAAAAATTCGAAAATATAGGTATACAGGTTGGAAAATGGTTTTTAGGGTAGTAATAATAAAGTTATGGGTATTATGAGGTTAGAATATGAAAGAACAACATTATATTATACTATAAAAATTTTAATCTTGAAGGTTGATAAGAAGAAACAGGAATTATTAAAGAAAAGGTACTTTTTCAAAGTTGGTAAACAAGAGGTATACGTGTAGTTTGCATATGTAATGGGGGTAATAGTGAAATTTAAGGTTGCCAAGGGGATTTTCTGGGATTTTTAAGGTTATAGAGGATGATGACATATTACACAAGCAAGAAAAAGAGAGTAGCAGCTGTGAAAAGTGAAGAAAATGGGTGAATTTCATCAAAAATGAAGGCTTTCAGCTTATTACATATGTCAAATGACGTCAGATTAGGTTGGTAGATAGCTCATGCAACGCAGAAGAGTGGATTGAATAATGTACAAACCTTAACTCAATAGTAGCGGAGGTGTATGTAAAAATTTATAAGGCAAATAAGAAATTGGTGTGAATCACGAATTTACAGTCACAAGTCAACATGTAACACTGAAAACCTTAACTTCGCACCTCAATATCTTACTCATCACTCATTAGAAATAGGTCATATGGGTGTCATAAATGATCAGTAACACAAGGGCTACAAGACGCACTTTAGTAATCAAAAATTGGACCTCATCTGAAAAAATTTGTAATCTCAAAATTTGGTTTTCAGCTAGTTTACAAGAGAAAAATTCACCTGTATTCATGATAAG